ATACGAATTGGAGACTTAAGAACTCACTCAGTATTTCTCAATCTGAAGGAACTAAAAAACGAACTCAAGCCTAGAGTTATAATACTTAGGGATGATGTGGTAAAATGGGTGAATGACCCAGAAAACACTGAAAGAAGATGGAGGGAATACACAGTCACTGAATCAAAAGAATTTGCAGACACTGAAATATTTCAGGAAATACCATATGATCAAAAGCCAAAGATAATGAAGGAAGAAATGCAAGATGCTCTGAAGGCACTGTTGTTGTTATGTGTTATTGAGTCATTTGTGACTCATAGCGACCCTATGTACAAGAGCCCTAAACGCTATTCTATCTTGTGCCAACCTCACCGTCTCTGACACACTCATTCCCACCACCCCAATCACAGAATCGATCCATCTCATCGAGGGTCTTTCTCTCCTCTGCCATCCCTCCACTATCCCAAACATGATGTCCCTCTTCAAGGACTAGTCCCTCCTCGTAACATGCCCAAAGTATGTCAGATGGAGCTTCAGAATCCTTGATTTCAAGAAGTAGCCTGGCTTCACCCTCTCCAGGACAAACCTGTTTGTTCTCCTAGCAGTCCATGGTATATTCAACACTCTTCTCCAGCATCACAACTCAAAGGTATCAATTCTTTTTCTATCATCCCTAGTCACTGTTCAAATCTCCGATGTATAACACATAATTGTGAAGACTATGGCTCAGATCAGGTGCACCGTAGTCTCTAGCCTGATGTCGTTTCTCTTCAGTACGCTTGAGAGGTCCTTCACAGCTGACTTCCAGTGCAATTTGGTGTGTGTGTGTGGGGGGGCAGGGGAAGCTCCAGGAATCAATAGGATACCAATTGAAATGTTTTAAATGACAGATGCAGCCCAGGTTGTGTTCACCAGTCTATGACAGGAAATTTGGAGGACTAGTGTCTGGCTGACTGAACGGAAGAGATCCAAGTCTGTTCCCATTCCCAAGAAAAGTGGTCCAAAAGAATGCAGAAATTATTGAAATATATCATCAATATCACATATATGCTAAATACTCCTGAAGGCCATTCAGAAACTGAACAGTACACAGAGAACTGCCAGATATTCAAGCTGGATTTAGAAGAGGCTGTGGAACTAGGGATACCATTTCTGATGTCAGATAGAACCTGGCTGAAAGAAAAGAATACCAAGTGAATGTCTATTTGTGCTTTATTGACTATGCAAAAGCATCTAACTGTGTGGGTCATAACAAATTATGGCTAATGTTGAGAAGAATGTGAATTCCAGAACACTTGATTGTGCTCAGGTGGAACCTCTAACTAAATCAAGAAAATGTTGAATGAACAGAGCAAGGGAACACAGCATGGTGTAAGATTAGGAAAGTATGTATCAGGGTTATATCCTTTCTCCTCATCTATTTAACCTGTATACTGAGCAAATTATTTAAGAAGCTGGAATCTGTGAAGAAAAAAAGTGGCATCATGATTTAAGAAACACGTTATCAGTAACCTTCGTTATGTGGATGATATAGCCTTGCTTGCTGAAAGTGAAGAGGACTTGAAGCACTTGCTGCAGAGGTAAAATGTTGTAGTCTTTAACATGGATTGGTGGCATCTCAATGTCAAAACCCAAAAAACCTTTCCCCTGTACTACAGATAACATCATGCTGGAAAAGAAAGACTGAGAGTGTCAATGACTTCATCTTACTTGGATCCACACTCAATACTCTTGGTGCCAGCAATCAGGATATCAAGTGACACTGGGAAAATCTGTAGTTAGGGACCTCTTCAAATTATTGAGGAGCAATGATGCCAGTTTGAAGACTAAGGTGTGTCTGATTCAGATCATGGTCTTCAGTCACTTGCTATACATCTGAGAGATGGATAGTGACTAAGAATGACAGAAGAAGAACTTTATGCCTTTGGACTGTGGTGTTGGAGAAGAGTGCTGAAGATCCTATAGATTGTTAAAAGAACAAACAGATACATTTTGAAGAAGGTACAGCCAGAGTGTTCCTTGTAGACAAAGATAATGAAGCTGTTGTACATAGGGTTGCTATGAGTCGCAAGCGACTAGACGGCACATAATAACAACATCAGGAGGGGCCAGTCCTTGGTAAAAGACGTCATGCTGGGAAAGCTGGAGGGTCAGAGAAAGAGGATGAGACACAGTGACAGTAACAAAGGGCTCGAGCATGTCAGATAAAGACGATGGTTCAGATCTGGTGTTCACCCGGTTGCTATGAGCCATCCCCTGGACAGCACAAAACACAGTATGTCCTCAATTATTTATTTGCTTCTCTGCAAAGTCCTGACCATTTCTCTGAACGTATTAGCAACCTATTTTATTCTATGAAAATTGAGGCTTTTCTCCCTTCTGTAATTTCTCCTTCTCCTTAATGCTTTTCCTCTAACCAGTCTAGTTCTTAACAGCAAAAAGGAAGTAGATATGGGTAGGAAATAAGTATTGGCTTTGCCTTACTACACAGAACTACTTATGTAGCTGTGATTAAAGTTTTCAGCAAATCTAGAAAGAGAAAAAGGATCTATTATGTTTTAGGCTAAAGGGAGAAAATAGGTTAATTAGGGCTATGATTTCATCTCTTCCAAGCTGGACATGTGTTGAGTGCGAATACATATGTTTTTGATTAGTCTTTTATAGAAAATGAAAGGAAAGGTTATTATTAATCAGATGGATCTCAATACTAAAATAGAATTGTCAGTGAAGTTGGAAAGCCAGAAAACTTCGCTCTTTTCATTGTTCATTGCCAGGAAGTTCTTCAAAGCAGTCAGCATCCAAATAGCCAAGTTACCATAAAGTGTCCTTGTACTATGTAAGAATACGTATGTTAAAGATGCCTGTGGATATAGCTGTTTTCCCTACAGGGTATATAAAACCTCAAGTTTAGGATTTCTGTAATGAGCTCCAGTGTTAAAGCCTAGACTTATCAGGTTTATGAATAAATGCTGTCATGAAATCCCTGCATGGATACTTGACTACTAGCTGGAATATACTATTCCATCACTCAGAGATGTGTAGGAAGAGAGGCCCTGTGATCCGCTCCTGAAAGGCCACACCTTGAAACGCTGTGGAGCAATTCTGTGCTGCACACATAGGATGACCAGCAGTTAGAATTGACCCTATGGTAACTGACAAGAAGTTGGCATGCAGTAGGCTCTTAAATCCATCTATTCAAAATTGCTGCAACAAAGTAGTCGTGTCAATCACCTGCTTCTTGGTATAAGGTTCTTGAAGGGAAAAGCCCTAGGGTTGCCTCAATCCTGAGTGGGATAGAATTGGTGGGAGGACACGGACCTTAAGAAATTTTCCCACAAATTTTCCTTCTTGTAGAAAAAAGCCTAAAGGTGTCTCTATTTTGTGCTCTTACTCATCATGAACACTAAAGCTGGTGACTAAGGTGTGGGGAATGGCTCATGACATTTTTAGTTACAACAGCTTTGCCACTACTTAAACATCTTTCATGTAAACAGAATGGACGATCTGCTGTGTATACAACTTATCCCTAAATGTTGACTCTCACCAAAATAGGATGCACTATTTTTCAGTCAAAATCTAGTTGATGTTTTCATTCCCTTGTGCTTCAGCATCAGTCACATTTGTACTTGGAATGAATAATCTATGAAGACAGTTAATCAAGAGAATCGAGACAGAGGTGGATGCAACTATGTATTAATATGTAGGCATGTAGACAATACAAAAAAAGCACACTCATATAATAACCAAAATAGAATATTTATATTATAACTTAAGTTTTTCCACATAAAAAATAACAAACTTTAATGCTTTTTTACCTTCTTAGAAAAATGATATTAAAAAGTGCTGTACATCAAGATAATAATTGAACTCCTTATATTTAGCAAATTACTACATCTCACATCCATAATTTTACTAAGACTTATTTCACTAGTGCTTTGAAATGATTCTCTCTAATCTATATTCTGGAACTGTACTGTAATGCAAAATATATTTAGATTTCAAAAAAATAAAAAAATATATACTTTAGATTTCAAAGATTAGTATGAATAAAAGAATGTAAAATTACAAATTTTACATACATACTGATATTTTATATTAGAAAACATAAACTTTATTAGTTTAATTTTACCTCGTTGATATTTTTTAAGGATAATAACTGAAAAATTAAAAATTACACCTGTAGCTCACATTTCTTTTCTGTGTGGGACTAGAAATTGGAAAACAAAGGGTTAAACTATCTATAAATTCTATATGTTATTTGTCTTTAGAAATGGGAAATATAAGAACTAACAATCCAGTCTGTAATTTTTCTAATGGATCATATTACTTTTAAAACAAAGTATAAATCTTAACCTCTGTTTATAATTTTCAAAGGTACCGAAAAATATGACTGGCATTTAAGATATACACCTTATGCCACATTTTAAATTAAGACTAAAACAATGGATAAACTAAATCTCCCTATTGTTTATTTTTACAAATAGCTGCAATAGAGAGTTAAGGGAAGAGGAGTGGAAAAGTGGAGGATATCAACAGGATTAACTGTCTACTTGAGCAGAAATAAGAACTCGTGTGTAAATTAGGACACTCTACATTCAGTGACCTCCCACCCACTGCACTCATATTCCACTGCACTTTTCCACAAGATGGAGAAAAAAGAGAGCTGCTCTTGTGGCAAAAATAAAGTTAATATAGACTTGGTCAATAAAAACAACATAACATTTAGTGTGGGGGGATTTCCTTTTCTTTGCATTTCTACCATATAAGTAAGGTGTTTTATCGTGAACCTCTTTAGTCATAATAATTTACTACAAAATATGAATTAAAATATGACTGGATAATTATTTTCAGGAAAATATACCTTGATGGTTGGTTTTTAGTTTGTTTGTTTTTTAACTCTTAGAAGTTCAGGATAATTTTTATTGTTTGGTTTCTGACAACAAAAAGGACTAGTTCTTCTGGAAAACTATAGATAGTAGCATAAGCCATGTATCAGCACTTCCTGTGAAGTGAGACTTCTACTAATACTCTAGTGCATTCGCTTCATTTGAAAAAGTGACAGGAACAACTAGGCCCTGTCGGTGCAGCTCTCGGAGAACATCTAAGATTGAGTCTAGTTCCGTGCGAAACTTGTCCAGCTCTCGGTTCTTTAACTGTGCAAGCCGTTTCCATTTTTCCACTTCCTTGTTTTGCTCAGTTTCTACTACTTGGCGAGTTTGCTGTATTATCTGAAAATTAAAAAAACGAAAAACAAAAAACAAAAACATATTACTACTACAATTCACCCTGTGGCTGAACAACAATTACCACTTTCAAGAGTTGAGATGGACAATGGTGAGTGTGACAGGACTGACTGTTAGAGGGAGGAAGAGTGGCAGCCGTAACAAACGGGCGAGACTCTGCCCAGCAAATAAGCTTTGTAGGTTAAGAGGTGGAAAATTTATAATCTAAAAACTTTATTATATAAAGTTTTCTAGTTAATTTTTTAAATAATGTGAATAAAACACTACCACCATTTAAAATAAGAATATCTAATCGCTTGCTATGAATCTGAACATCCAAATAATGTCTCCTCAGGATAGCAACGTAGGTATAGTGTACAAAAGAAAACCCAAAGCTTATATAAACAGAGAAAACAAAACACAAAGATTTTCCACTAATAGAAAACTGGTAAGACTGAACCCTGTCAAAGGGGAAGAACTTGTGGGGCCTACAAAAGAGAGGAAGTTCCATCGAGTTCTGACTCTCACAGGGTTCATCATAATGCTTCTGTTGTTGTTAGGTGCCACCAAGTCGAGTATGACTCACAGTGACCCTATGAACAGATCCAAACCCTGTCCTATGCTTATTATTTCTGACATACTCGAGCCCATTGTAGAAGTCACTGTCAATTCATCTCATTGAGGGTCATCTTCTTTTTTGTTGATTCTTTATCTTTCTAAGTATGATGTCCCTCTCCAACGAGCACTCAGGCTGTACTTTCTCCAAGACATATCTGTTTATTCTTTTGGTGGTCTATGGGATATTCAGTGCTGTTCTCCAACACCATAACTCAAAGCCATCAATTCGTCTGTAAACCTTATTAATTGTTCAGCTCTCAGAGGAACAACAAGTGAGGGAAAAAACTAAATGGCATCTTAGTCTTCTAACTGACATCATTGCTCCTCAATAATTGGAGAAGTCCCTGACTACAGACTTTTCCAATGCAATACGCTTCCTGATTTCCTGACTGCTGATATCAAGGGCGTTGCTTGTGGATCCAAGTAAGATGAAATTGTTGACAATTTCAGTCTTTTCTCCATCCATGTGATTCAGATACACAAACTGCTTTGAGGGAGAAAGATGAGCAATCTCCTCACAGGTGATTTACTGCCTATGAAAACCCACTGGAGGGCCAGCTATGGGTGCATTATTACTTGATGGTACACAACAAAAAGTATTCCTTTGCTCTGTTCAGACAACAGTCTCTTGGTTCAGGCAAAATGAATAGGTTTCGCATTAGCACAATTAAGTGTCGCGACATATGATTAATCATACAGCATAACAGTAAAAATAGTAAGAACAAACATCCATAGCATGCATCAAGTGCCAGGCCCTGTTTTATATATTTTACGTAAGTTAACTCATTCAACACTATCAACACAGTAGGGGGCAGGTGCTATGATTTATCACCATTTGATAGATAAGAAAGTTGAGCAACTAAAGCTCAAGCCCAATGGCATTTAGTGTGTCTGCCTCACAGTGACCCCACATGGCAGGGTGGTTATTGGGTTCGAATTGTTGATAGTTTGGTTAGCAGTCAACACGTGAACCACTATGCCACCAGTAGTTACATTATGTATGTGTACTACATAAATGATACTGATACACAGATATCAATATACACATATAAATGATATTAAATTATAAATATATATATAAATTTTATGTGTATCAATAAGCATGTATCAGTAAATTTTATCTTTATTGATACACACAATAATTTCTTCCACCCACTTGTGTATAAGACTAGAAAACAACTATTTGTAATAAGGTCTTAACACAGTATAAACCTATTGTAAGTTAGGATATAATCATAAATATAGTTGTGGACAACTTATATGGGTACATTCTAGTGAAACAGTGGTACATTTTGATGCCTTAATTCTACTACCGTTGATTTGCAGTGAGTTTAGAATATGGTTTTTGAAAGACTTTCATAAGTAGGTGAGCTCTGGTGGCCTAGAGGCAGGAAGCTGCACTGCAATTGCAGAGATATGTGGTTCAAACCCACCAGACGCTCTGCCAGAGAAGGAGAGGCAATCACCTCCTGTACCAGTCAGATCCGATTTGATGGAACACACACACACACACACACACACACACACACACACAAAATAATAAAATAAAAAAAATTTTAAAAAATGACTTTCACAAGTATAATAGTAGAAATGAAAAATCTATCACATTATTCTCATTAATCTATTAATCTCTCAAAAATCTATTAATCATTGCCCATTTCAAACTCATTTCTTAATTCCCTAATGAGAATCTTGATATGTTTACATACAGCTGGTATTTCCCTGTGGCATTCGAGTTAACAATAAAGCCTGCAAGTCAATAATATTATCAGTTTTCAAATTTTATATAAATTCACCTTGGTCAAGCAAAGATAAATACCAGCACCAAGGCGGCTATAAACTCTTTTGTCATTTTAAATGTCTATTATTTTATGTTTGTAATTAAGGATAATAATCCTATTACTAGTGCTAGATATATAGTTGTTGTTAAATGCCGTTGAGTCGCAGGTGACTCATAGTGACCCTATGAAGGAGAGTCCTCGATGCTTGGGTGCCTTTCATCCTTCCTCCAGGTTCACAGAGTGTCCCGGAGGCAAGCTATTATGGAAGTGGATGGATATATATTACATACTAGAAATTTATTTCTTATATTCATTCATTGAAATAATTTAGAAGAATGGAACATTGTTCTCCATGTGTTCCCAGAACAAATATGGATAAATTTTAAGCCACCTAGCAATAGATAAGAACATGATAGACATTCAAACCATGTACTTTTAAGATTCCAGCACAGATTCTTACCACTAGGCAACCAGAGCTACATATGACATACGGTATTTTTTCATTTCATTTCATTAGACAAGACAAACCAATCCTGAGGTATTTGAAATTAAAGTCATTTATACAAAAGGTATAAATTGTCAAGATTCAAATACAGTGGATATACTTTAAGAAAGAACTTTTTTTGGAGAGATGTCAAAATCATAGGAAATTAGATACAGTGAAAATAGAGTACTATACAAATATATAAATATGGTCTACTCTTTTACCTGTTGAAGTTCCTGCTCTCTTTGCTCATGCCTCTTTTCCATCTGTTTTATTTTCGTTTCTAAGCCCATGAAGTGCTTCATCTCTGGTGTATGATTTTCTTTGGCTTCTCTCAATTCTTCTAAGAGTTTTGTAACCTAACATTGAGAACATTATATAAATCAAAAGAGAAGATTAAAATGCAGTAATTTTATAAAGAGGTTGGTTTGAAAACCAGGAACATTCATCATCTCTATGAAATGTTCCTCATTAAGGCGCATCCTGGGTATGACAAGTTATCCTGAGTTATTAGCGTAAGAAATAGCTTTCATTTCCTATGCCCAAAAGAAAAGCTCACCTTATCTCTGAGATGACCCACTATTTCAAGAAGATCTTGACGACTGGACAATTTTCTCCCCATTAAGGCTCAAAAGAAGTTGGGTAAGATCTATTTTGGGGCATTTTCTTAGGTGCATGCAGTTTTGCTACAAGAACGTACTGGTCAAGGATTATATTTAGGATTACATGACAATGCATTTAAAACACACAGCACAGTATAGTACCCAAAACACAGAATATTTTGAATAAATATGGATTCCTGTTCTTTAGTCAGCTCTGTGTAATTCTAGTAGTAATTTTTTTCCACCTGTTATCACTTGTGGCTTTATTGTAATTTATTTAACAAATGAAAGAGGCATAGAAAGCAGAGATAACTGAGCACTGAGTCCTGTGCTGGTAGCTGCCTTGGGCCCTCTCGTGTGAGTTTTCCCGGAGTAGATTCCAGTACCAAACTGGCTGAAGCCATTCTCTTTTGCTGGAATGGCCTTGCCACTGATCAGGTATTAACATGGCTCAGGGGCAAATTCTGATCAGTTTAGACTCATTATAGGCTGTCCAGTTTTTCCTGCCAATGACTGCTTTAAAAGTGGGCATGTGACTTACCTTTAATGCAAAGGTAGCTAGCTGGGAGACAGTACAATCTCTTTGTATTTGTTTATTTGAGTACTTTCCTGTCCCATCCACCATAATGCAAGATCTTTGACGGCGAAGATGTTGAGTATGTTATTTATCACTATATCCCAAAAGCCTACATACAATATGGTCTGGTATCTGCTAACTATGCATTCAATTAATAAATAAAGGAATGTGATGAAGTAGATGCCATACTTCTCATTCACTGGAAAATATCAGTCTTAGAATTCAAGAAGTTGTACTGCCTACTCTAAGGTAGGTGTTTTTGCTCCAAAGGAGAAATTCACAAGGCAATCTCCTCCCATGCTGTTAACAGCCTCTGAAAACTCAACTTCAGGGCCAGCTATGAGTTGGTTCTGACTTGACAACAATGTGTTTTCAACAGAGAATTGGAGTCTGGGGAACATTATCAGTTTTTTCTTCTGCATGAAGAACTGGCCTTGAGTTGAAGTAACCTACCTCTGATCCTCCCTGGATAAAGACTGAAATGTCAGCTGTGATGGCAGACACACTGCCCGTGGTGAAAAGCACTGCTGACTGATAGACTTCATCTGGGCTCAGAAGACTTTGTATGAACTGAAATACTTGGTCGGAAGCTGCGGCTCTGGGCTATCCAGCGTGAAGTGACTTGCAACAGGTCATGTCCCTTATAGGACTCATGGAAGGTTTGCACACGAGTTATAATTATTCTAAGAAACACTGCTTTTGTAAGCTTGGGGTATCTAAAACAGGGTGGTGCCTTAATTTCCCTGGTGTGTTTTATTTCCAACAGCTGGTGGATTCAAATCTTGGGTCTTGGCATTGGCAGCACAATTCTATACCACTAAGCCATCAGAACTCCCTTCAGACTACACTTAGAACTGCATTAGCCCTAGACTGAGGCTGCTCTGGCACCACCATAAAAAAGGGTATTTAAAAGGGTGACACTGATCCCAAGTAACTACTTGGCAGAACAAAGCCTACTATGATTTAAAAGAAAAATAAAATTCACTTGACAGCATAAAATCCATAATGCCAAAACCTAATAAAAAAATTAACAGGCAAGAGTCAGAAGGAAACCAGAAGAGAAACTAATAAGACTCAGAAATAACAGAGATGATAGTATTGAAGGAAAAGAATGTTAAAATAATTATCCTTAACATACCTTATGTTCTCAAGAAAATAGAGATGAACATGAACATGGAAATAAGAGAAATGGAATACTAAAAAGGATGGGATAAGAATTTAAGATGAAATATATGATTACTGAAATTAAAAAATATTTTGGATGGAAGCAACAACGTAATAGGCAAAGTGGAGGAACAGACCAGTGAGCTGGAAGATGTAGTAATGCACACCATCAAAAAGAATTTTTGAGAAAAAAGATGAGTCTAAGTGTTCTAAGGCATGTCTCTTAGAATGTTACTTGTTCTGAAATCCACTTTGTCTTATGTTTTTATCAGATTTTTTTCTGGAGAACTAGAAAAAAGAGGAAAAAAAAAACCCCAGGGATACAGAAAAAAAAAATATTTAAATAATGTTCAACAATTCGCAAATTGATGAAAACTATAAATTCAGGATGTAAGAAGCTCAATAAACTCCAAGTGTAAAACCCAGAAAACCACCCTGAAGTAAAGGCACTAAAACTTGGGTATAAACAGAAAATCACCTTAAAATCATCCAGTGAGAAAAGAAATATATACAGAGAAATGAGAAAACAAATAGACACTATGTTCTGTACATCAGAATCTATCCAGTGTATATGCAGAATATGTCCTTTATATCAGAAACTATGAACTTAGGCAACTGTGATGTCTTTTTGGTTTTGTCCAAACATTTCCCCTCATTTTAAAAAATTAATATTTGTATGAAGGACATCATGTTCAGAAGGGTGGATGGACAGCACAAGACAGGGAGATCCTGGAAGAGATGCATTGATACAGTCACTGGGGCAATGGGGGTTGATGTGTCAGAATTTGTGAGACTGGCTCAGGACAGGGAAGGGTTCAAAGCTGCTGTACACAGAGTAGCTATACATTGCAGGCAACTCAACAGCATGTAACAATAACGTACTATGACAGGTTTTAGAAACAGGAGTGGCATCTACTTCCTAAATAACATGCCTCCAGAAACTTTATGAACTTTGATAAATGTTGATAGATGTAAAGGGGCTTCAGGCCTTTAGTTCATAGGATCGCTATGAATCGTGTTGACTCAAATACAATAGACAACAACACATATGTTTCATGCATTTACACTAGGTTTTATACAGTTGTTATTTACACTATATTTCATTTATTTATATTGTGGATTCCCCTCCTTACAATCATCTTCCTAATAACTTTTGTGAAGGCGTGTAAGCCAGCTACTTCATGCCTTATGCTCTAATATCCTCCTTTTATTTTATTTTATTTTATTTTATTATTTTTTGTGCAAGTACCATCAAATCAGATCTGACTGGTACAGGAGGAAACTGTCCCTCCTCCGGCAGAGCATCTGGTGGATTCAAACTGTGTACCTTTGGGATTGCAGTACAGCTTCTTGACACTAGGCCACCAGAGCTCCCCTCCTTTTATTTTTTTAAACATAGAAAACATTTTAATTTTCCCCTATTTTTGCACATTTTCTTCCCCCTCCCCCCTCTCCAGATCCTTATCGCAATGCATCCCTTGTTCCAGATTGCTGTCATGCATATTATGACTAGTCATATATTCCTTTCATTCTTCCTCTCATCTGATATAATGCAGTGTTCATTATCTATCCACTCTTTTTCCCATTCTATATGCAACACCTCTATGTCTGTCCAATTTAATAACAACATTGTTTTGCAGTATTTGTCCTTTTGTGATTGAGAATTTTACTCAGCATAATGTCCTCCAGGCTTTCCCATGTTGTGTGAAGCTTTATGAGTTCATTATTTTTCATTGCTGAATAATATTCCATTGGGTGAACCTACAGTAATTTTCCTATCCATTCATTTGTTAATGGGCACTTGGGTGGCTTCCATCTCTTTGCTACTGTGAATAATGGAGCAATAAACATGGGTGTACATACATGTGTTTAAGCTGTGGTTCTGGTTTCTTTAGGGTATATTCTCAATGGTGGAATTGCTGGGTCAAATAGTGCTTCTATTTCTAACATTTTGAGAAAGTGCCAGACAACCTTCTGTAGTGGCTGTACCATTTCACATTCCCACCAGGAATGAATAAAAGTTTCAATCTCTCCACCTAACCAGCACTTGTTGTTTGCCGGCCTGCTGAACTTTGCCATTGTTGCTGGGATGAGATAGTATTTCCTAGTTGTTTTGAATATCCTCCTTTTAGATAGCCAATTTATGATCTGCCCGTCCCTATCACACCAGTACTCTGAGGGAACAAGCATGTCCTTTTAGCTGAAGAATCCTCTATCCAACTTGGAAATTTAGAGCATATGCATCCACAAGCAAAGACTAGTCCAGAGCAAGCCATCATGGTGCAACAATCAAGCCTAGCTAACATCATAGTTCTCTTCATCTGGATGGGTTCTGGTCAATGCATTCCTAGGCATCCATGGTTACGTTCAAATGGTTATCAGCTGCAAGGCCATGAGTCCACACTCCTTGCATTCCAGACCTGATGGTGTCAGCCCCAGCCCCAACATGGGGTTGAGTCAATCAGCCAGGGTTCTTCTTGACTGTCTGCTCCATAAGGCAACAACCCTTCCCTGCTCGTCCACACAACTGTGCATACTAGGTGGGCAGCATTGAAGGAGCACGTTCCAAGCTCACTCCGTTTCTTTACTGTTTTATTCCTCCCATTTCCACTTTTATGGGGATTAGCTTATGCTCATGCACAGTAACAGACATCTTTATATTGACAAAACCAAACTAAATCAAAACAAACAAACAAAAAAATCCCCATAAGCTGTCAAGAGTTCTACACTTTTTGAAAAGCTTTTCCAAAAATGGTAAAGATGATTTTCAGACAAATATAAAAGCTGAGATAATCCACTGGCAGAAGATATCTACAACAAAAATGTTAATGGAAATACTTGAGACAGAAGGAAAATTATGCCAGTCAGGAATATCTTGTTGCTGTTAGGTGTTGTCAAGTATGATCATAGTTACTCTATGAACAGATCTGAACCCTGTGCCATCCTCATCATCTGAGTCACTTGAACCCATTGCTGCGGTCACTATGTCAATCCATTTTAAGGGTCTTCCTCTCTTGCTGATCCTGGACCTTTACAAGCATGATGTCACTCTCCAAAGAACAGCCTTTTTTAGAAACATGCCCAGAGTATGTGAGACAAAGTTTTTCTATCCCTACTTTAAGGAGCATTTTTACTTTAAGGCTGCACTTTTTCCAAGACATACTGATATGTTCTTTTGACAGTCCATGGGACATTTAGTGCCCTCTCCAACACCACAATGTAAATAAAGGCATCAATTCTTATTCTGTCATAATTATTTTCTGTCAACCTGAATCAGATGCACCTTAGTTTTCAAACTGATATCAATATTCCCCAGTAATTTGAAGAAGTCCCTGACAAGTAGACTTTTCCATTGCAATATGTCTCCTGATTCCTGACTGCTGGCACCAAGGGTGTTGACTGTGGATCCAAGAAGGACAAAATAGATTTACACAAAGGAATAAAGCGCCCAAACAGTAAATGCATAGCTATTTGGAAAAGACAGTTTTGAAAATACTTAATCTTTTTAAACTATTTACATGACTTATAGCAAAAGAAAGAGTGTAAGGTTATTAAGAGACATGGGAATACAATGTAACACAATAACGAGGAAGGAAAAATAGAAATATACACATAGCTTCATTACACCTAGAGTGGTATAATATTATCTGAATTGCAGAGTGGGATAAATGACAGATGTATACTACAAAGCAAAGGGAACAAAATGAAAAGGTATAAAGTAAAAAAAAAAAAAAAGCAAGCTAGCAAGTCAACCAAAAACATCCCAAACCCTCTGTCACCTAAGGATAATAAAAATGGAGAGTTTTCAGAAAAACCTACTGCCTGATATTACTGTTGATCCAATCATGCTATAACTATTTTCTCACCAAACTAGCAACATTAGTACTTACTATAAAAAGAGCTGTACATCTAAATTACTGTCTAGCATAATTAAACAATTGCCCCTTGCCATTTTTTGCGAGGGATGGAAACATAACTATTTCCATTTAAAACCTGAACATAAGTAAAAACAATTTCTAAATAATACTGGAGTTTCATCTAGGCAGGTATATTCTCCATACGTAAGTTAAAAAATATGCTTGGTATGTGACTGTCATTTTCATCTGTCCATTTCTTAAGTTAAAAAAATTTATACCAAAATATGAATGATAGACTTCAATTAAAAAAAAAAAATCCGTTCTTCTTTACCTCATTCTGTAGGATTTCTTCTCGAACTTGAGAAACTGCAAGTGATTCTTGCTTACCCTGCAGCTCATGAACTTGATTTTGGAAATGTTTTATAAGTACCTGAAAAATGAGTAGAACTGAGTTAATAATATTCTACTTCCTTTGAAGAAATTGACCTTATTTAAAAATCGAAATAAAGTCAATTCATTACTTTTATTTACTAATTTAAAAACCCTTGACATTGAAACATCACTTGTTAAACAAATGACTGCTACAGGAACAAGTTCATTAAGGGGTTATATTAGGTTTCTCCTAGGATTTAAAATTGAAATACTAAAAATAAATTGACTCTAGAACTAGCTGGCCTCTTTCACTATAGTGGGTTCCCTCTGAAAGCCTGAAAAATCTTTTATAAAGAAACAGTTCTAAGTCCTAAGCCACCATCGTGGGTCAGTTATTTGTCCTGGAGGGGTTAACATGTGACTGTGATGGTGGAACCTGTCACAGGCGTTTAACCAGCAGCGTCACCCACGGGGACCAGGTTTCAGTGGAGCTTTCTCTGAACATGAGTAACCAAAGGCTAGATGAATTGTGAAATGACAACAAAGATTCTAGATGTGAGAAAATCAAAAGGTCAGGAAAAGACAGCAAAATCGGTATCAGAAGAGACTTTGAAACTTTCTTTTGAATGTAAAGTTGCTAAAGCAAGTGAAAAAAAAATGCTGATGAACAAGAGCTCCACAGGACATTCTGAAAGGTGGCATTTTGTCAAAAGTGGCCAATATTACCTTTAGACTTTGTAATGAAATAATAGTTTTTTTAAGAGGTTATTAACTAGTATGATTTATATTGTTTTGTTGTTTAGGAAGATTACACAAGCTTAATATAATTCATGACATCAATGTTAGTTTCCTATTTTTAGATATTGAAATATATGAACATATATTCAAGTAAAGTATTTGAATTTAGTAATAACTCAATGCTTTTAGTGTTCTAATGATCAGAGTGTGCTGAATTATATCTAACTCATAATTTATTAAGTTACCCTTATAATTCTGAGACTATCGCATATTTATTGCACCAGACATTAAGAAATTAGCTTTCTCATGAGAAACTGATAAAATGCTCTTATTGCCTACTGGTATCCCATTCATGAAGGAAGAATAGCAAGTTATTTGTAAGTTAAATTAAAATGACTATAGAAATTGAAATTTTTCTGTTCTGTGCCATCAAGTTGGAACCAACTCATAGCTGACCCTCCAGTAAGTATTTAGAGGCTATGAATCACACAGGAAAAGGCTGTACATCTTTCTCACAGAGCAGTTAGTGTATCTGAACTGCATGCTTGTAAGCTGGCAGCATAACTCCTTATCACTAGGCCACCAGAGCTCCCTAAATGTAAAGAGCATTTCATTTTTTTTTGGGGGGGGGTGTATAAAGATTAAATCAAAATTCTTTTTATGCTCATTTCTTTTTCTCACCAACATTTTATTTTGCAAAGGACAGTACAGTAGGCATTTTAGATTCAGTAACTGTTTACATTTCTTTTCTTTGTATATACATGTGCATGGATGTATGCATTGTGTGAGCATGTGTGTGCATGCTTTTTCTCCATTGAACTGTTTTAATTTGAATTACAGAACTGACGTTTCATCCTTAAGTACTTCAATCTGCATCTGCCTCTCAATATACGTGCAGATGTGTACATTTTGCCATTTGATTGCTTGCTCTTTTCTTTATACTATTTAAAATCACTCTGTAGATAAAAGTTTCATATGACTGCTGTTTTTCAGTCAAGTAACTCTACAGAGAAAATGGATCAGACAGTAAATATTCACAGATATTCCAAATAGATATAAACTATATTCAATAAGGAGCATTCATTCCAGAAAACGATGAGTTGTCAGCCTTCTCAGTAATAATTTTTCTAAGTCTATATGCTTTGTAAAAGCTAAAGCTGTGTGTGTCTCTCATTTATTTTATCCCAGGTGCTTGATGCCTATAAACCATAAATCATTATTTGTTTAATGAATGAAAGGTAATGGGCAGGAAGAACTAAGATAATTACTTGCTGTTTGGGTCTGAGTTGGTGGGAAAGGGCTCAATGTTCAAGTTCAACTACTCCTTAGAAAGTTTCTAGTCTTCTTGATATATCCTTTAACTATTTTCTAAAATCAACTTGTTATTGTTCTTAGGTGCCACTGAGCTGAGTACACTGCATAGTGACCCTATGAACAACAGACTTGAACCCTGCCTGATTCTGTGCCATTCTCACCATCTCTGATACACTTGAGCCCACTGCTGCAGTACCATTCTCACAATTGCTGACACACATGAGCCCCTTGCTACAATCGCTGTGTCCATCCATCTCGTTGAGGATCTTCCTCTCTTTTGCTGATCCTACATCGCACCTTTCCAAGAATGATGCCACTTTCCAAGGAACAACTTCTCCTAGCAACATGTCCAAAGTATGAGAGACAAAACTTTGCCATCTTTGCCTCCAAGGAGCACCTTAGCTGCACTTTTCTAAGACCTATCTATCTGTTCTTTTGGCAGTTCATGAAATAGTAAGTATTCTTCTCCAATACTACAGCTCAAAGGTATCAATTCTTTTTTGGCATCCTTATTCACTGTCCAGCTATCAGATGCATAGCAGATGAATGAAAAGATCAATAACTGAATCATGTGTATTCTCATCGTCAGATTGACATCATTGCTCTGCAGTATTTTGGAGAGATCACTGATAGTAGATTTGCAGTAATTCTCCTTATATCGTGACTACTGGTACCAAGGTTTTGACTGCTGATCTAAGCATGATGAAATCACTGACAACTTCAATCCTTTCTCCATCAATCATAGTGTTGCCTACAGGCCCAGAGGTGAGGAGTTTTGTCTTCTTAATGTTGAGATGTAATCCATATTAAAGAATGTAGTTCTTGATCTGCAGAAAGTGTCTGAAGTCCTCCTCATTTTCAGTAAGCAAGGTTGTGCTATCTGTGTAACCCAAGTTGTGGATGAATCTCCTTCCCATCTTGATGCCACATTCTACTTCACAGAGTCCAGCTTCAAAGATCTGATCAGCAAACAGACTGAACAGGTATGGATAAAGAATGCATTTGTGGCATACACCTTCTTGATTTTAAACATTATTTTGTCTGGTCAACAGGTTTTCGGTCTAGGTATAGATTTTGCATGAGCCTAAGTAGGTGTTCTGGGATTCCCATTCTTCTCAATGTTAGATATAATTTGTTATGATCCACATAGTCAAATGCCTTTGCACAGTCAATAAAACACAGAGAAACATTCTTCTAGTATTCTCTGCTTTCAGCCAGAATCCATGTGACATTAGCAATGATAAATAAACATGGAGCTGTAGCCTCTTTTAAACCCTAATTTAAACTTCTGGCAGTTCCCTGTTAATGTACTATTCTAAGCATATTTGGATGATATTCAGCAATATTTTGCTTGCATATGATTTTAATGTTATTGTTTACTAATTTCCACATTCTGTTGGATCACCCTTATTGGTAATGGGAACAAATATGGATCTCTTTCAGATAGTAGAGCTGTCCTCTAAATTTCCTGGCATAATCTGGTGAGCCTGTCCAGGGTTGCATCTGTTAGTTCAAACATGTCAACTGGTATCTCATCAATTTCTGGGCTCATGCCCAGCACCAGCACCACCAAAGATCCAGTTGAGCCACTGTCAGTGCCAAATACCTCTATCCAGGACCTCATCCTACCATGCTGCCAAAGACCTCTGTTGAAGCCAGAGAAGGGCTTTCTGCACCATGATATTTGTATGCCTGATTGTATGCTTTGTTGTTGGAGGTAAACCACCTACCTGTTAGTTTATTGTATTAGGGAATGATTTGCATGTTACTAGTTATTTACAATGTATGTAGAGGAAGGTATATCTGAGAAATGTACGGAAAAAATGGTATAAACACTTACCTACAAGGTGTAATTTAAAACAGAAAAATTAAACATGAATTCTAATTAAAAAAAGAAAACACAAATAACTTTTCATTTCTAACACTAACCTCAAAATTAAAAAAAGACATATATTCACATCAAAGAGAGATTAAAAAGCATTTTGTCATTTACCTCTTGAGTTGCTATTTTACGATTTAGTTCAGCTACTTTGGAAGAGGAATTTTCTATTGCATTTTGGCAAAGGAGTTTCTCTAACTCTCTCTGATGAGATGCTTTGAGAGATGTGATTCGTGCTGTGGTATCTTCCTTGATCCTATGGAGAAAATGAAAGAAAATAACAAATAAAAGTGACATTTCAACCTGTAATTTAGGGTGGAAATTAAGGAAGCAAAGGGAGAGAGGGCACCAGTATTTACTGTGTCAATTACTTTATACAAGCTTTCATATCAGTTCTTCATTGCTCAATGAGTTTACTATTATTATTTATTAATCACTGGAGGAAGGAGTTCTGGTGACCTAGTGGTTAAGGAGTTGTGCTGCTAAAAAAAAATAATACACTAACAGAGAAATGCCAGAAATTCAAACTGGGTTTAAAAGAGGCTCTGGAATCAAGGATATCATTGCTGATGTCAGACAGATCCTGGCTGAAAGCAGAGGATACCAGCAGCATGCTTATCTGTGTTTTATTAACTAGGCAGAGGCATTTGACTGCATGGATCATAACAAATTATGACTAATACTGAGAAGAATGGGAAACCCAGAACACTGAATAGTGCTCATGCAAAACCTATACTTAGACCAAGAAGCTGTTGTGCGAACAGAGAAAGGGAATACAGCACGATTTAAAATCAGGAAAGGTGTATGTCAGTGTTGTATCTTTTCTCCATTAACTATCCGTATGCTAAACAAATCACTTGAGAGGCTGGATTCTATCAGACCTGGAAGAAAGCTCAACAATAACCTATACTAGGGAGCTCTGGTGGCCTAGTGGCAAAAAGCTGTGCTGCAATCCTGAAGGTTCACAGTTTGAATCCATCAGATGCTCTGCTCAAGAAGGAGGGGCAATCTCCTCATATGCCAGTTGGATCTGATTTGACAGCACACAACAAGTAAAAATAAATAAATAAAAATAACTTGTACTATGCAGATGACACAAGTTTGCTTGTTGGAAGTAACCTGACATACTTTACTGGAGAGGATCAAAGACTACAGCCTTCAATATAAATTACATCTCAACATCAAGAAGACAAAAATCCTCACCACTGGCAACGTTGTGAAAGATGGAGAAAGGGCTGGAAATCAATTATTTAATTTTATTTGGATCTACAATCAACACTCCCAGTACCAGCAGTAAGCAGATCAAGAGAGGAATTGCACTGGAAAAATCCACTGTCAGGGATCTCACCGAAATACTAAGGAGCAATGATGTCAGTGTGAAGACTATGATGCATCAGATTCAGGCCATGGTCTTTTAAATCATTTGCTATGGATCTGAAAGTTGGACAATAATTAAGGGTAACAGAAGAATTCATGTCTTTGAGTTGTGGAGTTGCTGAATATCCCACTGACTGCCAAGAAACCATCTGATAGGTCTTGGAGTAAGTACAGCCAGAGGGCTCTCTGAAGCCAAAGATGGTGAAACCTGGCCTCCCCTATTTTGCTTGGAAGAGTAGAGAGTGAAGATAAGAGAGGAGGACCTCAACAAGATAGACCAACACAGTGACTGCAGCAAAAGGCTCCAGGTGTGTCGGAGATGATCAGAATGGGTAGGGCAGGGTTCAGAATTGCTGTAAACTGGGTTGCTTGAAGGTCCCTAACAAAAACAGTAACATATGTTCTGAATCTCTACTTGAAAGTGCCTAACATAACAACAATAACATATGTATGACATATAACAATAACAAATAGGAAAATGTATAGAAAATTGAGACTTAAAATTATTTCTGGCAAAGAATGTGACCTTTTCTAAGTAGTTGCCAGGAAGATTCATGACACGATGGACAGTCAGTATTTGCTGGTTGTTTTCTGTTTTTATTTTGCTCTCACAGCACACTGTCATTGGGAAGCAAGAGAGGCATACATTTATATCAGTTCTCAAGGAACATGTTTATGTGCACACATTATAAGATATATAGGATTTGAGGTAGGAGCAGAAAATTTCCTGAAAGTTTCAGGAAATGTGTGTGGAGAAGGCAGAAGTTAAAAAATGAAGGTGCAAAAGGTAATGAGTAAATGATGCAACTGAAGCTTGTTGTTGTTAGGTGCCCTCAAGTCAAGTATGAATCATAGTGACCCTATGAACAAAAGATCTGAACCTTGCATTATCCTACATCATCCTCACACTTCCTAATACACAAGAGCCCACTGCAGCAGTCACCATGTCAGTCCACCTCGTTGAGGGTCTTCCTCTCCTTTGCCGACCCTCCACCCTTCCCAACATCATGTCCCTCTCCAAGGAATAGCCCCTGCTAGCAACATGCCCAAAGTATGTGAGGCAAAGCCTCATCATTCCTGCCTCTGAAGAACACTCCAGTTGCACCCTCTCCAAGTTGTATGTTTGTTCTCTTCTCCAACACCACAGCTCAAAGGTGTCAATTCTTTTTCTATTATACTCATTCATTTTCCACCTTTTAGGTACACAGCAAGTACCCGGAAAGATTATGACCTGAATCAGATGCACCTTAGTCCTCAAACGGACATAATTACTCATCAATAATTTGGAAAGGTCCTAACTGTAGATTTTCCCAGTGCAATGTGTCTCCTTATTTCCTGACTGCTGGTACCAAAGATGCTAAGTGTGGATTCAAGTGAGATGAAGCTGTTGACAGTTCCAATCTCCTCTCCATCCATCATGAAACTACTTATCGGTCCAGTGGTAAGAATCTTTGTTTTCTTGATATTGAGACGCAATCCATACTGAAGGCTGCATTCCTTGATCTTCAGCAACAAGTGCTGAGGCATGTAGTAAAATAAGACTTGAAATTCCAGGCAGAGAAAATGAGTTCTGATAACAAAAGAATCTGAAGTGAGTAGATGCAGAATTAGTGGTTTTTAAGACAGATAGTTGGAAAGGTAGAATTAAAGTCAGGGAGATTAGGAAAATTATGTACTAACCCAGGGAGTTGGCAGTGATTTACTACGTTAAGAAGACAGCAAAATGTGAAACATTTGTAAGAAGGCATGTATGGGCTGCACACCCAAGGAATAAAGTAAAGCCAGACCCAGCAATAGAAAAATACATTCATAGGCAGAAGAGGGAAGTTGGGAAAGAATTGGTTTAAGGTACTAACTTGAGGCACTGCTGATTCCAAAAGGTATAATCTATTAAGTGTCTGAAGGCCTAACTTCTGGGTTCAGGAAGGAGAAAAAGCCTTGGCAAGTAAATATTATTGTGGTTCATGGGACCATACAAATGGATGGAGTTCTCAATGGAGAAACACAGAAGAGAGAGAGAAATAAAACAAAAAACCAAAAAACCCAACAAAAACACCAATACCAGAATGTAAAAACATTAACCAAAAATTAGTAGAAAGCTAAATTTGTAGGACAGGCCTATCACGAAAGTCATGAAGAAACAGATGTTTTGGTTAGGGCTGTCATGTCATGGAGGTTAAGAGGGGAAATCACTTCAGAAGGGCAATGTGTTAACTCTGACAAGGAAAATGAGGATGGAGTAGGAGTTTCTTGCTGGACTTGGGAAAAAGAACAGGTTTATTAGGAGTGCTGTGTATGAAAGCCATATTTAGGAGGAAATGTGGTGGAAATGAAATGACTAACTATAGAACAGTGGCCCTGAAAAATGTAAAGAAGACTAGAATTTGGGTGAAAGAATCATCTGTGGATGTCAGAAGGCTCAGGGGAGAGTGTGTCCTCTGCAGCTGGAGACAGAGAGAGGAGAAAGATTGAAAGAGCTTGGAGGTCCATGAGCACAGAACCAGTCTGACAGTACAATAGAAAAGAGAAGGCTTTTTCTTCTTCAGCAGTCATCTGATTTTACTAATCGCTGGATTAAAGTCCACTTTATAGAAATCACAGATGATGACATTTCTTTGTAAGAAAGATGCAGTGGGTCAATTTATTACTGCTAAGAGAATGAACAGGTTCATCCTGGACGGAGTTAAACCAGGCTGCTCCTTGGAGGCAAGGATTCTGAAGCTTTGTCTGACAGACTTTGGACATTTTGTAAGGAGGGACCAGTCCTTGGAGAGGGACATCATGCTTGGGAGGGTGGAGGGACAGCACAGGAGATGAAGACCTCGATGAGATGGATTAATTCAGTGATGACAATAAGATTGACACAGGATAGAGCAGGGTTTAGGGCTGTTGTACACAGTGTCACTATGAATCACAGGTGACTCGACAGCACATAACAACATATCCAGAAAGGCAGGGCTGATGGTCTGGCCCAAGGACATAATTTGGATTGAAATGGATCAAATTCCTCAGTCTAAACTACTAGCAAGTAGGCAACCTTACCATAAAATAGATCAATGCCCACCAATGTAAAGCAATTTCTCAGTTATGAATGTAGTTCAGACTCAAGTTAAGCATTCAGAGAGTATGGATTATAATTTTTCAATTTCTATCTCTTTTATGTCCCTGCATTTCTAAAAAAAAGTTTCATGGTTTACCTTTTGATGGAATTTTCAAACTGATTTGATGCTGCTTCAGATTTCATCTTGAGTTCATTCCTCTCCAAAATGACTCTCTGTAGCTCATTTTTCAGTGTGAGGTTTTCCTGTAGAACTTCTGACGTATGGGAATCAGAGAAAGCATGTGGTTGGTAAAGCTCGTCACCCAGGGCTCTTGCAGACCTGGCATTCCCTTTACCTGCATGCACAATGTCTTTCTTCGTCTTTCTGGTGGATGTTTCCTCTCTACCTTTTGGGTTCTGATTAGTCAGCATCATTCTTCTCTCCTTCTGCAATCTCTCCACAGTTTTTGAAAGGTCCTGTATCTCCCTTGTTTTTGTAGCCAGTTCCTCATTGAGCCGTACCAGTTTAGCTTTGGCATGAGCCTGTTCTACCTGGAATTCTATAGACTCAAAGTCTTTATCCTCTTTATTGTTCTTCTTCAGTTCAAACTCAGCATTCTGTTGTTTCAGAGTGCTGATTTCAGCTTCAAGGCTTCTTACAGTGACCTGATGGGCTTCCTTCACATCGCTGAGCTCCTTCTCAAGAGCTTTCACCACAGAGGAGCTGTCATGCAGGTTCTGGGCTGCTTCCTCTGACTTGGAGGCGAGTAGCTGATCCTGTTCCTCTAGTCGGCATTCATACTGAATCTGAGGGGGTAAAAAAAAATCCATAAAATGTCAAAACACAGCTAAACATATCATTAGTTACAGAAGGTCTGAATTTTAGAGAGTCCAGTCTGCTCCTTTATTGAGGTTTGTTGATGCCTCTAAGTAACTATGGACTCTCAGTCAGTCTATGTCCTACTCTGTGAAGGGCATAATGTATACATTGTTGATGTGGTGGATAACCTCCTAATTGGTATTCTGCTTTGTAAATATTAAATTATTTTTTCTCATATACTCCTAATATTGTTTTAAACTTCACAATAAAACCCATTATTATGCATTTTTAAAATACAAATTGGTTAACTATGTTCACTTAGGACAGGTAAAGTAGCTGGGAATATTGAGGTCTCTGAGAAACACATTTTTTCCCTTCTGCTGTCAGTTCATGGAGCTCAGGTGGCCTAGTGGTAATGTGCTGCACTGCTGATCCAGAAGCACATGGCTCAGTGATCAGCTGCTCCTCAGGAGAAGATGGGCAATGTCCCTGGAGAGATCGACGGCCTCTGTAAATTGGCTGGAGGGCCAGCTGTGAGTCAGTTCCAACTTGATGCCACATAACAACAACAATATCAATTCAGTAATTTTTTAGGAAGCATATCAGCTTGCAATTTACACACTGGGATTTTAGTATTAAGAAAGCAATTTACTCTGTAAAAAAAAAGCAGTTTACTCTGGATACAAAGGCATTGATTTGTGTTTGCTCATGTATTCAATGAATATTTATTTAGTTACAATTGCCTGTCAGGCACAGTGCCAAGGTCTAGAGATGGAAGAGCTCAGATCAGCTTTTGTTTTCAAATAGCTCAGAGCTTAGTTAGGCGCGAATGGCGATAGTCATAACATATTGTAACCATAAGGGGCCTATGAATGTGGTGAATAGGTGCGGAAGGGTCAGGGCACCCCGAATGTCTGGAGGACTGAAAAGAGGTAGCAGAGCTGTATAAAAGGCAGCACATTTAAGTTCAGGCTAAAGGGATGAGTATGAATTTGGGGATAAGTGGGATTTAGATGTAGGAAGAACACCTGTGAAGTGTTCTAGGCTTGACCTGTCACCTAATTACAGGGTCAAGGAAACGGATGAAGAGGTGAGTGGAATGGAGAAGAGGAATTGCAAAGGGAAGAGATAGTCTTGATCAATCTAAAGCCAGAAAAATGGGGAAGAGGCTGGAATTCATGCCTGAGAACCTCAAACTGGTCAACAAAATAGTAATAATCATAATTTAAAGGCTAACTGTTAAAAGGTACAAGTATGGCTCTCAATCCTCCTCATATCATGTGTTAGGGATTAACTAATGAAACTAGTTCTTGAACATTATTCTGTGTGAGGCACTATGCTTAACAACAGAATCCAACAGCGAAAGAAAGCACAACAGTCCCTGACACCCCAAGGTCCGCAGACATATGGGAAGACAGGAAGAGAAAGACTATCAAAGATCCAACCAAAAAGTCAGAAAACGTGTGGAGCTATCAGAGTCCCTATTGAGGTAATACACTAGGTAGCTGTGGAAGGTTTCACCCACCAGAACAAAGAAGGGACACAAATTCCTGCTGTTGTAGGAAAAAAGGCAGCAGGAGAAATGGGCTAGTATAGACACAGTGATAGAAAATGCGGGAGGCAGGGGGGAGCTGGCCAGCCATACCTTTAGAGAATATTTATTCTAAGAGGAAAACAAAGTTACTAGAGCAGTATAAACAAAAGAATGTGTGTATATGTCTGTGTGAAAGTAGTGAGAACATATAAGTTTGCCTGTGGTGTACCAAGTTGATAAATTGTTGTTACCTACTGTCAAGTTGGAACTCATAGCTGACCCTTTAGCGGATTATCAGAGGCAGTAAGTCACACTGGAGATTGCCCATCTCTCACCCATGGAGCAGCTGGTGGACTCAAACTGTGTGTCTTCAGGTTAGCAGTGTAGCTCCTTATCACTGGGCCACCGGCATTCCAGTTAGAGGATGGGGCAAAATGAGTGTATAGGTCAGTTAGGTCCTAGATTCAGACATCCAAGCTAGACTCCTAAAATTATCAACATCAGGTGTTAGAAGATGGCAGTATAGTGATACGGTGTTGAAGAAAAACAGGAATTGTCTGATATTTTAGAAGCAGAAGTTGCATATTAAAGTCAGTTATCTCTTGTTTAATATGGGAAAACTGAGGCCCAGAGAGAATAAGTAATTAAATATAAGTCATGAAGTGGTGAATTTCAGGTTAGTGTGACTCTAAAGTCTGTATATTTTCCATTTTGTTAGTTTCCTATTAACAAAGAGCAGAGTGCATTCTGTTAAAAGTAGAGCACAGAGGTAGAGGCGGGGCAAGATGAAGCTGAAGACTGGAAGTGAATGGTGGTGAATGGAAGCAGCAGGTAAGCAATTACACTGCTGTAACAGGCTTACCAAGAAGCACCGAGAGAATCAATGCTGGCCAGGCCATCCTCACAACTGTGCCATTTCCTTCAGAAAGGACAAAGAGGCATGAGTAGAGAGGAGGAGCAGACAGGTAAACTGAGGCTGAGCATGAGAAAGGAATAGTTGGGAATGGATTGGTTCACGGAGTACACCTTGGATTTCAGGGGAAGTCAGTCAGGGAGGTGGCAGGGAACTTGAGGAAAAGGGTGGAGTTAGGAGGATTCTACTCTTCTATTTTGTGGCTGTATCTGTACTATTTCTAATATCGTTGAAAGTATCTAATATAAAGATTATTTGATGTCTAATAAGAAGTTGCTGAAGGAAGGCACAAAGAGAATGTTTCTAGGGGTGATGAGGTTTGTTTTGTTTGTTTTTGTTTTGTTTTTGTACCTTTGATACCTCTGGGAAAGGTTTCGTGGGAAAGGATGTTGAGAGCTATTTGTTAAAGTGAGAGCCCAGGCTCCCCCTTCACAGTATAGTTAATTTTGCCTGTAATGACACTCTATTCCCATGGTTACCTGACATTTACCTTCATTTTCTGAAACTGCTGTTCCATGGTACGAAGGCTCTTTTTTGCTTCTTCATCTTTGCCCTCAAGATCAGCTTCAAGCTTTTTAATCCTTTTTTCCATAAATTCCACCGTATTTCTATTCACTGTATCACCTGCTGCTGATGCAGCCAATATTAAAGCAGGTAAAGAATTGGGATATCTTCTCTTCAGAATTCCTTCCATTTCCTTAACCTATTAAAAATATTTTTGTATATGAGTAAAGACCAAACTATATGTAAAATGACAGTTGAATATATACATTTAATTTCTCCAAACAAACATCTAGGCCTTAAAGAGATGTTTTTATCAAGCTTCTGGACTGAATCAACTACCAGCAGAAATGAAGAGAAACAGATGAGGTGAATGTCTATATCCCTTCCTTCTGGGCACTGTCAGGTTGGTGCTGACTCAGAGCAAAGGGAGCACTGCCTGGCCCATGCCGTTCTCCCCATCAGTGTCACCTCAGCCCACAGCTGCAGCCACTGCATTCATTCGTCCAGCTCACGGAGGCCTTCCCTCTTCCTTGCTGACTCTATTTTACCAAGCATGATGTCTCTTTTCAGAGGCTTGTCCCTCCTGACAATGGGCCCAAAATGAAGTTATATTATTTACAGCATTCTACAGTTCTGTCTGGAGCCCTGGTAGTGTTGTGGCAACATGCTGGGCTTATTAACAAAAAAGGACATAAGTTTGAATCCACTAACGGCTCTGTGTGAGAAACATGAGCAGTTTCCTCCCGCAAAGATTTTTCAGCATCAGAAACCCATGATCAGGGTCACCATGAGTTGGACTCAGCATGAGTGATTTGGTTTCTAGTTCTGTTTAACCACTAATTTGCAAAAGTCCTCCTCATTGAATTGAAACACATCTTGAGACTTTATAAAATATTAGCAATAACCAGTTTTCTTTTTTTCCACAGATGAAATGCATTCCTTATATGTTAATGCTTATACTGATGACTGGAAAAATTACTTAAATGCACATAAATATTAAAACATTTTGAAATAAACATACAACTTCTTAAGTACCATCCCTCGCCTGCAGCAATCCCCACTCCATTTTCCAAATGAAGTTTAATCTATTTTAAAATGACTTATTCCACATGGGATCCAAGGAGGATTGGATGACATTTAATGGGAGTCTTCATAAAACTAAGTAACATTTTTTCATTTGGTGAGTTTGTTTGGCTCCACAGTCAACACTCTTAGCACCAGCAGCCAGGAAATTAAAAGACGTATTGTGTTGGGAAAGTCTCCGTTAGGGACCTCTCCAAAGTACTGAAGGGCAATGGTGTCACTCTGGAGACTAAGGTGTGTCTGATACAGTCCATGGTCTTTGCAATCACTTGTTATGCGTCAGAAAGTTGGACAATGACTAGGGAGGATAGAAGGAGAATTGATGCCTTTGAGCTGTGGTGCTGGAGAAAAGTATTGAATGTACCATAAAGTGCTAAGAAAACAAATAGATTCATCCTGGAGAAGGTTAAATCGAGCTGCTCTTTGGAGGCAAGGATTCTGAGATTTTGTCTGACATACTATGGCCATGTTGTAAGGAGGGACCAATCCTTGGAGAGAGACATCATGCTTGGGAGGGTGGAGGGACAGCGCAGGAGGGGAAGACCCTCTATGAGGTGGATTGATTCAGTGACTGGGGTAATCAGGGTGGGTATCAGAGACAGTGCAATTGGCACAGGGAAGAGCAGAGTTTAGGTCTGTTGTACATAGGGTCGCTATGAGTCGCAAACGACTCGACAGCACATAACAACAACAACAGCTATAATATATGTTATATAGTTTTTCTGTAAGATGAAAGAACTGTACTCAATGTCCTAAAAATTAAAGCTTGAAAACATATATACACACACATCAGATGTGTGTATATCTGCCTTTTCTTTTCTTCTTGTTGTTAGGCACTATCAAGTGGAGTATGACCCTCAGTGACCCTACGAACAACAGATCTGAACCCTGCCACAGGGCATCCTCACAATCTCTGAGATAGTCTAGCCCATTGCCGCAGTTACTGTGTCAATCCATCCGGGTGAACAACTTCCTCTCTTTTCCTATAGTTGAAGGATTTAATGATATAAAAGACCTAAAATATCCAAGTCCCAAAAGACTGATAACAGAAGATCAGCTCCCAGGGGCTGATCCACCAGGAAGGAGGGGTAAGCAGTGACGGTCATGGGTCTAGGTTTCCTTTTGGGGCTTATGAACATGTGCTGGAATAAGATAGGGAGGGGTGAAGTGGGGTAGGCGGGGAGAAGGGTGCAACAATGAATGAATGGAATGCCAAAATCTCTGTAGATGTTCATTGAAATGAAAAATAAATAAATTTAAAAAAAAAAGATAGGGATGATGATTGTGCTATGTTATTTTGGGGGTTTTTTGATTGCTGTGCTTTGTAAACATAATAATAATCACAGAGTCCTCCCATTTAAAAGGGTAATTTTGTGGCATGTGAATAACATCTCTAATAAAAAAATTATGCACAAAAGAAGGCAGAAATAAAGCCACTTTACAGAACAGCAACTCTTGAAGCTAGTTAAAATTTATGTCTTCTATATACTGGTCTGTGCGTTGCTGTACAGAGGTAACTCATGGTTGCTGTGATGCTGAAGCCTGTGACAGTGATGTGCCAAGTAATGGGCACCCATGGTGGACAGTGTTGGCTGGAGCTTCCCAACTAAATCAAGCCTGGAAGCAGGAGCGGCATCCATTTCCAACATGGCTTGCCTCCGGAAACTCTATGTATGAACAGTGCTCAGGCTGTTCATTCATAGGGTCGCTATGAGTCATCTACAACTCGACAGCATTAAACAACAACAACAACATATACGCATCTGTAAGTTGGATCATGAATAAGAGAGACTGAAGAAGTTATTCCTTTGAATTATGGTGTTAGAGAAAAGTATCAGATGTCGAGCACGACTCATAGTGACCCTATGAACAAAAGACCTGAAGTCTTTCTGTAACTATCATTTCTCAAGGTTTATAGAGTCTCCAGAGGCATGTTGTTTAGGAACTGGATGCCATTCCTGCTTCCACAATCAGATATATTATGGAGTGCCAGAAGAACAGTCTGTCTTGGAGGAAGTGCAATAAGGATACTTCTCAGATGAAAGGACAGTGAAACATTATCTCACACACATTGAGCTTGCTGTCAGGAGGGACCAGTCCTCAAAGACAGACATGCTGGGAAACGTGGAAAGTCAGTGAAAAAGAGGAAGCTGTTCAAAGAATGGATTGACAGTGACTGCCACAGTGGGCTTGAACACTGCGGAGACTGTGACGGTGGTGGAGGACAGGGCAAGGTTCAGATTTGTTATTCCCAGGGCTGAGTGGCAGTCAACTCCAGGACACCTAAAAATAGCATTAACACTTAACATAATGGATAGGGAGTTGAGTTGATGACCAAAGGCCACACTTTTCTGCCAGGATGAATCCAGCTGTGGCTCTGAGGAAGAAAGATGGGTAGTATCTTCTCATGTGACTTAACAGCCTCAAAAGTTAATGGAGGGTCAGCTATGAGTCAGTTCTGGCTTGATGGCAATACATTCAAGGTTTATTTAAACTGATAGTAATTTAAAAGAAATTCCAGGTTCTTCACTATACATAATATAGTTCCAATACCCAATGATTAAGAAAACATGTTGTTGTTGACTGCCTTAGAGACGAGCTCAACTTACAGAGACCCTATGAACGAAAAGCCTGAAGCCCCTCTAAAACTACTAACATGTATCATAAGTTTCTGGAGGCATGTTATTTAGGAAGTGGATGCCACTCCTGCTTCCAAACCTGACACAGTATGTTACTGTTTCTATGTTCCATTGTGTCGCCTGCGATATCCAGCATCGATGAAAGCATAATGCTAATCAAATCAATCTGTTGAGATCATTGTTATGTGCTGTCGAGTCACCTGTGACTCATAGCAACCCTATGTACAGCAGTTCTGAACCCTGCCGTGTCCTGAGCCAATCTCACTTATTCTGACACACCAAACCCCACTGCACCAGTCACTGTCAAAGCATCTCATCTGGGGTCTTCCTTTCCTGTGCTGTCCCTCCACTTTCCCAAGCATTATGTCCTTCTCCAAGGACCAGTGTCTCCTGGCCGTGTGCCCAAATTATGTGAGATGGAGTTTCAAAATCCTAGCCTCCAAGGAGAAACCTGGTTTCACCCTCTCCAAGACAGACCTATTTGTTTTCATGGTGGTCCATGGTATGTTTAAGACTCTTCTCCAGCACCACAATTCAAAGATACCGATTCTTCTTCTGTCATCTTTAGTCATTGTGCAACTCTTTGAAGCATAACAAGTAATTGTGAAGACCATGGCCTGGATTAGGTGCACCTTAGTCTTTAGATTGACATCTTAACTTTTCAGCACTCTGGAGAGGTCCCTGGCAGCAGACTTTGCTAATGCAATTGTCTTTTGATTTCCTGACTGCTGGTTTAAGAGTGTTGACTATGGAGCCGAGTAAGCTGTAAAAGTTAATAACCTCAATCTCTTCTCCATCCATCTATCATGGTGCTGCCCACTGGCCCAATAGTATGAATTTTTGTTTTCTTTATGTTAAGCTTCAATCCATATTGAAGAATATAGTCCTTGACTTTCTGCATCAAACACTTCAGATCCTCCTCGGTTTCAGAAAGCAAGGTTGTGTTATCTGCATAATGTAGGTTGTTGATGAGTCTACATTCAATCCTGATGCCACATTCCTTCTTATAAAGCCCTGCTTCCCGAATGATCTGTTCTGCATTATAGATTGAAAAGGTATGGAGACAGGATGCCTCCCTGATGCACTCCTTTTCTGATTTTGAACCAAAGTGTTTCCTTGCTCTGTTCTGAGGATTGCTTCCTGGTCCAAGTATAGGTTTCACAAAAGCACAATAAAGGTTCTGAGATTACCATTTGCCTCAAGTTTAGCCACAATTTGTTGTGATCCACATAGTCAAATGACTTTGCATAGTTGAAGAAACACAGACAGACATTTTTCTGGTGCTCTCTGCTTTCTGCCAAGACCCATCTGACATTGGCAATAATATATTTTGAGATTGTTTTTGTTGTTATATATCACTGAGTTGCCTGAGACTCACAGCGACCCTATGTACAAGAGCCCTAAATCCTGCTCTATCCTGTGCCAACCTCACTGTCTCCAACACACCTACTCCCACCACCCCAATCACTGGATCCATCTATCTCATCAAGGGTCTTCCTCTCCTGTGCTGTCCCTCCACTCTCCCAAACATGATGTTCCTCTCCAAGGACTGGTTCCTCCTTGCAACATGCCCAAAGTATGTCAAACAAAGCTTCAGAATCCTTGACTCCAAAGAGCAGCCCAGTTTCACACTCTCCAGGACAAACCTGTTTGTTCTCCTAGCAGTCCATGGTATATTCAACACTATTCTCCAGCACACCAGCTCAAAGGCATCAATTCTCTAGTCAATCCCTAGTCACTATCCAGCTCTCCAATGCATAGCATGCAACTGTGAAAACTATAGCTCGGATCAAGTGCACCTTAGTCTCCAGCCTAATGTTGTTGCTCTTCAGTACTCTGGAGAGGTCCCTGACAGCTGACTTTCCCAATGCAATTCATCTCTTGATTACCTGGCTGCTGGTACCAAGAGTTTTGAGATTAGGGGGGAAAAATTATTTACGCACAATTTACTGTTAAAGCCTACAACACACTTGCACTTGCAAATACCACAAGTGAAGATGATTATGAAAAGGAATTTGTTTCTGATTCAATTGTTTCAAAGTTAGGTTCAATCTACCTAACAGGAAAGGGCTACAAGGTCTTTGCTGGGCAGCCATTCTTAATTCAGGGATTGCCTTTATTTCCATAAATACTGCTTGCACATTCATAGATAAATCAGGATATATTCAGATAGAAATAGTTCATCTTACACTTAAAATTTTTTAAAGTTTGGTATTTTCCTAGCATAAGTGTATACGTGCAGACACACACATGTTAAAGTGAACTATTGTTGTTTGTTCTTAGGTGCCATCGAGTCACTTGCAACTCATAGCGACCCTATGTACAGCAGCCCTAAACCCTGCTCTATCCTGTGCCAATCACACTGTCTCTGACACACCCATCATGATCACCCCAGTCACTGAATCAATCCACCTCATAGAGGGTCTTCCCCTCCTCCGCTATCCCTCCACCCTCCCAAGAATAATATCTTTCTCCAAGGACCAGTCTCTCCTTACAACATGTCCAAAGTATGTTAGATGGGGCCTCAGAATCCTTGCCTCCAAGGAGTCACCCGGTTTAACCCTTTCCAGGATGAATCTGTTTGTTTTCCTAGCAGTCCATGGTACCCTCAATACTCTTCTCCAGCACCACAGCTCA